CTTTATCAATTATTCAGGTCTACTCTGCAAGAAGCTGCGAGAGTATTGAAAGTAAGTACGAGGTAAGTTGTTAAAGCTACGCGCGATATAACTCGTTGAGTACCGTCCGACCGGTGGTATCACCCAGGCCTGCACAATTGCGGCTTCCAGGAAAACCTCCCGGTCCAGCTATCTCAGCGCCCAACGTGGATCATATGGGGCCTGTCTGACCGGCGGGTCCGCGGACTCGGTGGAGACGTTTTTCTTTCAGTCGGCGACCCCCCGAGTAAGGCTTCGCGACCCCCCTAGGGGTCGCGACCCACAGTTTGAAAAACACTGCTATAGACTACTCCCCTCTACTACTCTTTCCCTGGTCATAAACCCGTGGGAATATAAGAATTCGAAAAATGAATTGTATTCTGACGTTGCGGTATTTCAAGTGGAAACAAAGAGATATTTATTGATATACATAGTTGTATTTGCTTGCTACTGAAATGTCAAAATGAGGGTCAAAGATTATGTTTTTGCAATGGACAGTCGTTTGACTCCGAGTATCATCGGGTATAATCGGGTATCATTGTTTCTCTGAACTTTAGAGGTGTCTTAATTGAATGAGTAATTTATTAGTACTTAGTAATTGGTTTTGTGATTGATATGCACGAGAATTTGAATTCGATACACTATGTGGGCAAAATAAATTTCGCTTTTTAAATCTTCAGTGGAAGCACGTAATTTGTCTTTTCCAAGAGTGACTTGATTATTCTTCTTTTCTACCCGACTTTAGAAAGTGTATATTACAACTGTAGCCATATTTTACAAGTGTAGGAGAGCCGTGCTTCGGCAAGAATGGGCCGAATCGATCGGAGTGATTACCTCGACCTCACGTAAAAACGACGTGAAACAACGCTTGCGATGTATTTCGTCGTGTGACTAAGGTTACCGGGGGCCCAATTACCCTCCCTCCCCAGTCTCCCCAATCCCCGAATCGTCCACAATCCTCAAATTCCCAATTCCCGAAAGGCCGGTAACGCACTTGTAATGCCTCGGTGTTCCAGGTGTCCGTGGGCGACGCCGATTGCTTACGATCAGGTGATCCGTCTGCTCGTTTACCGGCTCACGCCACAAAAAAAAAATGGCTTCTGTTATATTCAATTTGAATTTGCTATAGTCAAATTGAAGCGTTTATGAACGTTGAAAATAGAATTATTATCCAGCAGTGCATACTCAAGCACATTTATTTTATAAATCCTATTTACATACATAAAACTATGTACGCATTGAATCGTAGTAACATGCAGTAAAGTGACGACGAAGTAGGCTGAACCAGCGGACGTCCGCTCGGCATAGTCTGGCCTACTTGGTACGAATGAAGTATAGATGCGATACGCTAACATTCTTTTACTATTACGTGGATAGACTGGATAGTTTCAACCCCAGACTGTGTGTACTGCAATAACTATTTGTTGTTACATTGTTAAGGTATGTAGATAATGTTGTTTCTCCATATAAGGTATGTTAAGAGTAGGTTTTTGTCCTAGAAACACAATTGTTTCACATACGCACACATACACATATACACACATAGTCTACAGAATTTATTTTATCTATTTAATTTCATATTTAAATTTGTTTTCTTTTCCTTATTGAGGGGCGGTACCGCCGTCCGTGAGTCACTGCAGGGTGCTACCTGAAAATCAGCGTTGGGCAGGAATGCTCAACTATATGCTGAGGTGGAGGCCCTTTTGGCATGTGCACACGCAGTATTATATTATTTATATTATGGTGTTTTTTTGTGTATTTAATTTGTGTTTATATCAAAAACTTATTTCAATTGTTTCATATGTACATTAAGGAGCTGTGGCAGTCGAAAGAGGTAAATATTTCTTATATTTTGATGATTTTTGTTATTTTCTTTATGCTTTTATGTTTCCTTTTGATATTATGTATTTGTGTAAGTATGTACTTGTATTTTTTTATTTTTCATAATCTTTGTTTGTGTGCCATGTGCCGAATAAATGCTTTTTCTTTCTTCTTTCTTTCTTTCTTTACATATTATGCAGCCGACCCTGGAACAACAAATTGTGTTATATTAGACGACGAAATTCAACTAAATGAACGTCACTAGTTTAATCTATGTTATCGACAGCACTAGCTGTCATGTTGACTATGTCATCTGTCAAATGTGGCAGATTAAACTTTTGCAGTTATGAAGTATTGAGTTTTACTTACAAATTATAAAGCTCAAAGTCCTACATTATTTTGTGAAAAATGAACGTAGTAATAGTAATCTTAACTCTTACGTAGTCTTAACTTATCCCCAATTTGACTCAAAGTTGATGTTTCTCGGTTTTTTGTCAATCTCTTCTTGTCACTGAACTCTGGGTCATTTCAACCTAAACCCTAACTCAATATAAATAAGCGTTAAAACAATCTCTGTCTACAAAATACACTCATTTCATTAATAAGTTCTATTTAAGCATCATCGACATCACCAGCAAACAACTTGCCTTGAATTTACGTCATCAAATTACACTACCAAATATACCATTAACCCCAAGTTCATCGTATTAGCTAAAAGCTGATATTACTAATCAATGGGTGAACTTTACTAATATCAAGTCCAAGTCACTAACACACGAACTTTATGTTTATAATCTTAATATATTATTACGTACATCCATTCGTATGCATTCCGCGATATTTCTGCAAACTAAATATTAATTAGCTTGCTTCATAAAATAAATATTAAGTACTTAAATATTAGGAATTTCGATTGTTGTATGTTTTACTTAGCTAAGTGATGCTTATATGAAATGTCTTACTATTACATAAGGTAGCTTAAAATTACGCATGTGCATTTGGGTATTTAGGGAGTGGTTTACTTTTTGCAACAGTTTTGTGGAGCTTAGATTATTACATACTTACCTGTGTGATTTAAAGATAAATAAATAATAATAATAAGTAGGACAAACACTTCGTAAATTATTTTATAACAATCGAGAGTTCTTTTAGGGACCAATACCACCAGAATCGGTAGCATAGGGGAGCACAAGGTCCTTCAAATAAATCTAATGCGATTTCCCTACAGCGCCTGCAACAATACATTCCTAGGAGCTAAGAGGCCTATATAGGAATGTAGGATCACTTCTCGTCTTCAACTTATTAATAAAAATGTAGCTTACCGCAAAACCCATACACAAAAATATGGTACAAATAATGTTTCTGCACTATGATGTAATATCTAAAAATACTTGAAATGAATTAATTTGTGAATATTTCTACGCGTTTGCAACACAAAAGAAGATAAATTATTTGCACTAATATCGAAATGATTCGTAAACTTAAAGTGCAAAGTTGAGATAGTTTCATATAAAGAGTACCCTGAGTTAATTGTATTCATGAATAAATAAACTTGGCGTTATCAATGATGTTTCATAACTATTGAATCTTGTTTTCAAGATTTTTTGTATGCTTTTACTTAGTTTATATTTATAACTAGCTTTTTTACCCGCGGCTTCGCTCGCGTCACAAAAGGATAAAAAGTAGCCTATTTTTTTTTCTTTTTTTAAATAAATTTGACATATACTAATACACACAGCGCCATCTATACCAATACTTTAGTTTTCCCTCAGGAATATCAAATTTTTCCGAAATAAAAGGTACCCTATTATTTAATCCTGACTTCTAACTTTACGTCTGCAAAAAATCGAAGCAATCGGTTTAGTAGCTACGGCGTGAAAGGGGAACAAACAAACAAACTCACTTTCTTTCTTTTTCTTCCGTTAAGTAAGGATTTTTTTTTTTTTTAAGGGGGGAAAATCATCGAATGACTGCCCCCGCCTGGGTGAGGCGGGAGGGAGTGTCAGACTCTTACTGACTAAAAACCACCCCGTTCCTTCTCCTGCACGTCGAGCCGGAGCCCCGGTTACCCGTTAGGTTCTCCGCGACCCGTTAAGTAAGGATAACTGTCAAACACCGCGAGGAGACCGGTGACCGCGACCTATTGTTCTTTACTTGTGTCTATAATGACGGTACTCAACGAGTTAATGAAATTCCAAAACTCCAAACTGATGTTTTCTTAATTACAGATACAGGCCGGATATTTCCAACGCTAGAAAAACTTTAACTGTGGAATAACTTTGAATATTTAACAATTTAATACTAAAAACTGACAAATGTCAATACAGTTAAGAAATAACCGATGATTGAAGAAGCGGCCCACAGGTGCAAATTTAGTTCAACCACCTTGCATACTATTCAACACAGAAAAACAGTATTCAATGAGAAAAAATTACTACGAAAAGTGGGTGAAATACCTGTTTAAAAAATATTTCTTTTACTACCATAGTAGCTGTGCAACGCATCGCGATTTTCGGTAAACGAGCAGACGGATCACGTGATGGTAAGCAATCGGCGTAGCCCATGGACACCTGGAACACCAGAGGCGTTACAAGTGAGTTACCGGCATTTTGGGGATTAGGAGTTTGAGGATCGTTGGGGATACAGGGATTGGGGAGATTGGGGCCTGATTTTGGCCTCCGGCAACCTCACTCACATGACGAAACACAACGCAAGCGTTACTTCACGTCGGTTTTCTGTGAGGCCGTGGTATCACTGCGGTCGAGCCGGCCCATTCGTGCCGAAGCATGGCTCTCCCACACTTAAAAATATCGACACCTACACGGAACAATTGTTTGTGTGATCTACAAATTATTGTTCCCAGTGTCCGTATCATGTGTATTTGTATGATGGTAAAATGCACCCATGACATGAAAAAGATCCTAGTAAAAGGTTGCAATCCTATAAGCCTATAAAAAGTAAAAGCACCTGATGTATTATTGGCTTGTTTTAGTTTTATAATTTACCTATTATCTTTGTTTTCTTCATTTGTCTGTTTTTAAACCTTTTTATTGTTGTATATCATAATGTATGAGTTTTTTTTTATCGTGCATGTCTTATGCCGAATAAACGTATTTCATTCATTCATTCATTCATAAATAAAGAAAATCAAACTACAAATATACGAAACAAAATTATATTGGCTACGTTATGGCAGTGGAGTTTGTACTAGTTTTGTTTATTCTTCATTCTTCTTAACCGAGTTTGGCAGGAGCGGCCTTGACAACCTCAGCTGGTGGGGGGTGAGCTGCTATGTACTCCAAGCTGCGGACGATGGCTTCGGGGATGGCGGGTGGAACGGGGAGATGGCTTCCCTGTAAAAAGAAAAATATTATTGAAGATGATGACGATAACTGACACAGCTTAGATTATCTGTGTTGCACTGGTCATGTGCTTGAAATTAAGTTGAATATTGTTTATGCAAGTTTACAACTTAGGAGCTCAGTTAATGTCGGTACCTATGTAACAAAAAATGCAGAATTTCTTTGAAGATAGCACCTTTGAAAGATAAGAATAGTAAGCAGTAAGAAATGATTCTCTTATGTCGGAATACTCGCTACTCAATTTTAAGTCGCGCTTAAGTATAGTTCTGTCGCTACAAATTCTTTGTAAAATGACAGAGATGGCACGATATTTAAGCACGACTTAAAATTGAGTGCCGTTTCAGTATTCCGCCATTAATAATTAATTAATTTAAACTGTCAAACACCAAGCGGTCACCGGTGACCGCACCCTATTGTTCTATAATTGTGTCTACAAAACCGGTACTCGACGAGTTAAGTACTTGATAATACTAAATTCAAAAATATATTTTTTCCCAATAAATGACAACTTCTTTACATCAGTAAGTTTATACACTAAACATTATTCATAAAGATTAATTCATTTCATGTAAACAGATGAATAAATTGGAGTATCAGGTTGTAATATTACAATAACCGCTGTTTACTACATGTAGTATATGAATATCCATACGACACACATATCAAAATATTTTTTTTTGGTAATTTTTGTCTGCCTGTCTGTCTACCTATCTGTGTCTGTTTGTACTGACTAATTTCTGCAAAGACTAGACTGATTTTAACGGGACTTTTATTGGCAGGAACCTGTGTACTAAGGAGGAATACATAAACTACTGTTTTTTTGGTAAATAAATTTTTGGAAAATAGTTATTTCCTAAAAATTAAAATTCATATTCTTCGAGGCCGAAGACGCGGGCAACAGCAAGTTTTAAATAATTCATTTTCTTTAGTTTAATTTTGTCTGTCTTGTGATATGTTGTTTTGTCATGATTTGGATTTCTGATATTGTATTCTTTTTATATATTTTTTCCGGAATTTCCATGACATTTTTGTATTTCAATTTAATTTCAATTATTCAATTGACTGCTTCGTTGGCCGAGTGGTCACAAGAGCGATTGCCGGGCACGGGGTCTCGGATTCGATTCCCGGATCGGGCAAAGTATTACAGCGGGCAATAAAAGTATTAGTATTATTAAAAAAAATCTCAGTAGCAGCACGGAGTCTAGAATTGTGCCCGGTATATGGCAACAGCCTCACCCCCTATTACATGGGACTCATAACATAAATAGTGGAAAGTGGGCGTTACCAATGTAACTGTACAATTACAGTGGTATTAAGTGCGATAATGTGCACCTCTGCCAACCCCTTCGGGGATAAAAGGCGTGATGTTATTCTTTGCATTCGTATGATGTGATTCCCTTTAATTGAAGGAATACAAGGCTATAATGTAATGTACTAGTAGGTACTTAGATTATATTTTAGCACGTAAGTTGGGAGTTCAAATAAATAAATAAAAATCCATGATTTAAACGAAAAAAAAAGAAATGTCATTGCGATGTGAAGTTAAAGACAAAATCTTACCGAGGGTTTGTATCCGTTCTCGTCAGCAACGAAGGACAGTTCGATGGGCTGGCCCTCAGGGGAGGTGTACTTGATGCTACCGCTTGCTTCCAAGTAGGGGTACTCCTGGACAATGGAGAAAAAGCAGTGTATAGTAGAGAAAATGATAATACTTTGATATTTAAGATTGGCTTTTAAGATTTAATAAGTTTTTGCTTGCCATATGGTAGAATGTACCAGGAACGATATACCTTTGTAAAACCTTATATTATGTATCTACCTACATTTAATGCAAATAAACTATTCTAGTTTCTATTATATTCTATTGGATTTTATAAAATTAAGGTTCAGTTGTTGGTTCATATCATTAGATGATCATTTACTCTTATATCTAAGTGTCTATGTCTCACTGAAATTGAAACATAAATTACTGAATTATACATAGTTTTTTTTTGGTTTGTTTGAACATGCTTATCTCCGAAACTACTACTTCGAATTGAATAAATCTTTTTGTGGTCGATAGTCCATTTACTGAGGAAAGCTATAAACTATAAACCATCGCGATACGATCAATAGGAGCCGAGCAGAGTGGGTAAAGCTGTACAGTAGCTATTAGTGAATAAAATTCTAAAATTTTCCGTATCAAGCTGTATCTTTACCAAGGCAATAAACATACGGAAACAATAAAAATATAATTTAAAACTAAACTTTAGAGTAAACAATTAGTAAATATTTAATTTCAATACCAAAGTCATACGCCACGTGGTACGAACGTGATACCACACTGGTTTCCATCAATATATTTGCCCGTGACAAGGTCTTTTTAGCTTTTATTTAACGATCAATATAATTTAAATATATTCACAGTATTCCTTGCATTAATTTAACATATAGTTAACATATATTCCAGCCTTGACACAAACATCAAATGGTCATCATCATTTTTGTCTAGACGAAGGCGTTATCCCTTCACAATCAAGGTTAATGTAATGTACAGGCGACAGCAAGTCCACATTCACCTTTCTGTCTTTCTTTATTAGATTTTATTGTTTTGTTATAAAGTCGAAAATCATATGAAAACATTAACGGATTGGAATAGCTTTACCTGCTGGCTACGGTACCGTAACAATTATGAATGATCGTCTAATTTAAGCTGGCCCATCATTATTAACTCTTTGATGATTTGATTACAAGTTACACATTGATTCGATACGGTTGCAACTTGTTAACTTTGACAGGTACGATTGTTGTGCTCTCATTTTGGTATTGTAAAAGGTTAATGCAAATTATGATATGAGTGATTGAAGTATAATCATGTGCATATTTTGAATGTATGGAATCTGAAACTTTGACAATGTAGTACTAGGGAAGTCCAATGAGATTAATAAACTAACTAGCGTTATGCAAACGTGATAATAATATCAGAGTTATCAAGTTAGCTTTTATTAAGTCAATTAGGACTGGTCAGATCCAGACTTTATGATTAGATTGTCCTTAGGGTTATTTTCTTTTTCGATCTCTTTGACTGGATTTTGGAGTTACATTGTTCTCACACAATTGAACCAACAAAACTATTTAACTAAAGCATTGTATTGTGAACCTGATTGAAAAAGAGTAACCTATGGAGTTTTTTTGCTCGTTCTTCTCCATAGGAATCTACACTTTGGAACGAGCGAATCGCTCCACTTTTAAATTAAAATTAATGATTTTGACTTCCACTTTGACTTTGATATTATATTTTTTATTTTTATTAAAATTGTCATTTTGAGATGTTTGGCAAGTTCCTTAACTAGTTCTAATTATTTGTATATTTTTTATTGCATTGTTGATAAAAAATATACCAGACACCAATAAAACTAAAAAAATAATTTTGGTTATGCATCTGGAACGCCCACAACTTTATCTAGGTATCGAACTGCCAAAAAGCACCACAGAGGTGCTTTATGGATTAACAATAAGCATATGTCAAAAAATGTATGAGAAGCCATCAAAGACAAATAAATAAAAATTACTTGGGCAAAAAAACTTACTGAGTTAGCGTTCTTGAGGACACCAGCACCCTGACCGTAGATTCCATTGCCGGTTTCGTAAGAGAACTTGTAGTCTCCCTGTGGTTCAATGTCGAAGGATGATGACACGATGGGAGCGTGGAAGTCATCCTTGACGACGTGGGACACGTCAGCGCTGGCGTAAGCCACGGCTACGGCGAGAACTACTAGGAATTTCTGGAATAAAATTGATAAAAATTGTTTTTTTTTTTGGATTTTCACGAAACACTATGCATGATTTGCCTAAGATCGTTAGATATAAACGATATGAGGCAAAAATGTTCCAAAAGAAAACAAAAAGTTATGCAACTCCACAGAGTCATATCTTAAAACAAAAAAATAATTGCATCACTAAACCGGTGGCTCTTGGCTTTTAAAAACCAAATCATCTTGCAATAAAATGAATTTCATGATAAACCACATTTATTTTTTGGCTAATTAATGCATATGAAAAGGTAACTGGTCTAGTAATAGGTATCATAAAAGCACTGCTTACCATTTTGTTAGTGGGACCAAGTTTTTGTTTCGATCTGATTGAAGTATTCTAACGCCGTCTTTATATACTAAACGTCCAGAATAGGAATGAGGAGCTTTTATTTCTTTTTTTCAACAGCTATTGGTCAAAGATTATAAATGTGATGCAGATTATTCGGTGATGCATTAAGAGATGCATAATTTTTCGATCAAGTATCTAGAGATGTTGAATATTAATCAACCTGTGATCTACATTAGAACCTTATTTGGAACGGATTTTGTATCAACGTTATTTTCCTTTTAAAGGGACCGAGTATGATCCTAAATCAGATCTTTGGTGACACGTGGTACACATTTTGACACGTAAACATTAATTAAAAATAGCATTCAACTGAATGCTACTGGAAATATTGTACCATTAATGCAAACTTTCAAAGAAAAACTGGTTTAATTGCATCTTGTTTGCATTTTTGAGTTTTATAAAACAGTTTTTTACATATTTCGTATGATGCAAGCTAGCCCTCTTTATTTTCTACATGAATCTAGTAAATTCATAGCGGTTAAAATACAATAATTGAAAAATATTTGGTGTGCCGTTCATCTTTGAGGAGTTGTTAGGTTTTTTTCAAAAGGCCTCATCGCATTTTTTGTGAATTTTTTTTTTGTAACAAATAGGATCTTTGGCATTGAAATCGTTTTTTTTTGTGTAGTATGAGAACAAAATCCATTGGTTACCAAAGGTCTCGGGTCGTTCTGGGAGTTTCGTTTCCAAAAACGTCAGTGCATTTGCAATAAATAAGGTCAAAATATGAACTCTAGTCATCTTTTTAAGGAAATTAACTAAAAACCTCGCCATATACAAATTATAATTTGATTACATTCATTCCACGATTACCGATATGTACTTTGGAGAAATGGTTTTAATGAATCTTCAGACATAAATAGAACAATCCGATTTATACTAGATGTATATGCATATTTGTTACGTTTTAAAACGTGCAAACGTGCATATCTTTACGATAATCGATACAAATGCTTATTTACTATACAACCATTTAATTGATAACAAAGGCATAATTCGAAAATTATGCATAAAACTGGATAGAAGCTGTTTGCTACTGTAGGAAAATTAATTAATTACTTATTATAAAAAAAATACGGAAGTCATAAAAGATTAAACAGTTCCTTCACCCGATGAACAAAGTTGAAATGAATAAGAATAATTAAAATTAAGAAGAACATACATTTAGAAACCATTTATATTCTCTTTTTTTTATTTAGGCCATCATGCCATCATTTGCTAATACATTTTTCCATTGATTTTATGGGTTATGAGGCAAACAAGCGGATGGATCACTTAATGGCACCCATGGACCTCCGCAACCCCAGAGCAGTTTAATCACGATGCTGGATGGTTATTTTTATGAGATCAGCATGTAAAAGAGCACACGTATCACCTGATGGTAAGCAATTGGCGTCGCCCATGGATACCCGAAACACCAGAGGCGTTACAAGACTGATACCGGCCTTTAAGGGATTAGAAATTTGAGGATTGTTGGGGTTTCAGGGATTAGGAAGATTGTAGAAGGAAAAGGGATAATTGGGCCTCCGACAACCTCAATCACACGACGAAATACAACGCAAGCGTTGTTGTACGTCGGTTTTCTGTGAGACCGTTGTAGGCCTGTCGAGCCGGCCCATTCGTGCCGAAGCATGGCTCTCCCACACTTACATTATATTGATTGGTTTACATTACATACATACACGATTGTGCATTTTTTCTTACGATTCTAATCATGTGTCGGCGATTTTAACTTTTTAGTAATTCTGAATGTCATTTCTATATGAACTTTTACACGGATAGGTAAACAATTTTATTACATCTTGCATTATTTGCATAACATGCTATCTCGATAATAAATGATTAAAATCATCTATTTGTAGAACTGACACGTGTAAATATTAAAAGCTCTTTATTAATTTTATTTATTCATTGCAGTTTACTTGCAGTTTCATTTTTATGTTAATAAATAATAAAATGTGCTGACATATTGTTGGATATCGGGTACTATGTAAAAGGTCAGACGCAAATGTCAATTGTAAGCTAAAATACAAAAGGACCTATGTAAGAATCGTAGTAGGTTGCGTATTGTGGACATTGTGGTAGTTTCAGCCTCCTTCACGAAAAAAATGAGATCTCAAGAGCATTATGTAAACAAGTAAAATAATTTACAGGTCGTACATTTCTACGCCGTGAAATCTATTTCGTTTTCGTCCCGAAGTAAAATGGTTCTGTCTAGATAAAACAATAATTTGACAAAGTAATAAAATGTAATACCAAAATTAACCAATGAACCATAGCAAAAAGCAAACTTCGAAAGCGCATACGAACTCATAGGTAGTGCCTACATTATCAAAACATCACGCCATGTAATTCTTGAAGACGAATTTCACATTGGGTGGCACGTGCGATGCGAATAGTGCCTACAAATTTATGTCCAGTGTTTCATATGCGTATTTCGATAAACATTTGTTTAATATTAATAAAAAATTATGTCTTTATTTCTTTGTTTTTAATACGTTTAAGTACACTTTATGGCAAGGCTTATGTTTTGCCGCGGAACGAAAACGAAACACCAAGTGCAAATTGTTAACCTTAACTACTTATAAATGAAAAAATATCGATGAAATAAAATAACCAAACGCCTACCTAAAAAGATTAGGCAAAAAAGTGTACGAAAAACTGACTGCCGCGTCTAATTTCATTAGATACATAATCAGCGGCCACGAATGTGATATTATTATCACGGATGATATTTACTTAAATTTATGCAACACGAGTAGGTGAACTTTAGACAGGAATATACCTGATGTTCAAGGCCACCTATCTTCGTTGTTTTTTTTTCGCAGTCGCCAGATGCAGTTTGTTTGAGGACCCATAAATTTTGTTGTAAAATTGCGAACAAACTTTATGATGAGATTTCATTACCTATATTTATTTGGTTCCTTATTGAGTGGTTTATAAATGGGTTTCAAACGTAAATTGTGGTTAGTTGTAATTCTATTAGGATAGAGGGCGAGCTTATAGGCATAAATTAGACCAAGGAAACTAGTTTTAAAGTTATTAGTAGGTACATAATATGCCCTAAAACTAGGGTCAGTTTTTATAAATATTTTTTTACAATTAGGTACCTACCTACAATTAGAACCAGATATCGCAATTATTAAACTTTTTGAACTATGGCTGTCAATTCTAGAATGGAATTTATAAACAACAAAACAGACTTCATGAAATTAATATCAAGTAGGTAGCTACATAATAATCATACCTATATTATTTTATTACAACTATTACCTACTACAAAATCTACAGACTGTAATGGCAATGGGTAGGCCACGTCGCTCGACGGACTGACGGCAGACGGGCCAGGAAAATTCTTGAGTGGAGACCACGTACCGGAAGACGAAGCGTGGGCAGGCCTACCGCTAGGTGGACCGACCACATCGCCAGAGTTGCGGGGAGCCAGTGGATGGATGCAGGTGGCGATAGTTATGGTTCGATGTAGAGGACTAAGGTCTTTGTCTAGTAGTGGACGTCTTCCAGCTGTTGATGATGGCTACAAAATACAACATAAAACTTTGCTTATGAATAAAGTTTTCATAATCATTAAATAATTATTTATTGTACAAAATTATGTTCGTTTAAGTAAATCTGTACTTTATGTGCGAGCGTGTAGTTGACATTTGTAAATGATATTACAATATAATACCTATAGCTGTATTCTGACATATTTATGAGAATTTATGCTCGCCGTAAGGCATTACTTCTTAATTCCTTATACATTAACAGATATACTCGAAAAACCCGAAATTTCGGTCGAAATTACGTCATTATTTATGTTCTTATTTTTTGATGGTCATCGATGTCTATACCTAACAAATGTCAAATGTCAATGCTAGTGCAACGGGATACTGTCTCGTTGCCAAGTGGTCGCAAGTGCGACTGTCTGGCTAGCGGTCTCGGGTTCGACTCCTGAGTAGAGCAAAATATTACTGCAGTTTTTGAAAAAAATCTCAGTAGTAGCACGGGGTCTGGAATTGTGCCTGGTGTATGGCAATAGGCTTACTCCCTATTACATGGGACTCATAGCATAAATAGTGAAAAGTGGGTGTTACATTGTACCTACAGTGGGTGCCGTAATGTGCACCTCTGCCAACCCCTTCGGGGATAAAAGGCGTGATGTTATGCAACCGCACATATCAATTGAAATGGAATTATGTCATTGGCCTCAATACTACTCGTAAAAAACAAGTAAGCTCGAATGAGCCGGCTCGACCGGAGTGATACCACGGCCTCGACTAACTGACATGAAACAACGCATGCGTTTCGTCTCGTGAGTGTAGTTACGAATTTCCCCCCCCCCCCCTCCTTCTCCAATCTCCCCAATCCCTGAATCCCCAACAATCACAATTCCTAATCCCTAAAATGCCGCACTTTACGTAACGCACTTGTAAAGCCCAGAGGCATGCATACCCAAGAGTTCCGGGTGTCCATGGGCGACGCCGATTGCTTACCATCAGGTGATACGTCTGCTCGTTTACCGGCTTATGCCATAAGAAAACCTTAGCACATAGCTATTCGACCTCACAATTATTCATAACTAGGCAATAGATCAGGTAACAATTAATAATAATTTATTCATTAACTTATATTAATTTGACAGCTGCATAATGTTTATATGCATGAATTTAAAATCAGTCAAGTTTACAAACCTAAGCTTTGAATGCACTGAGAATAATTAAAATTTTACATTAGTACATTTAAAGTCTTTAATTTTATGTTCCCTAAAATAAGTATTACTTTCTTTTTTAACTCGTCGAGTACCGTCATTATAGACACAATTATAGAACAATAGGTTGCGGTCACCGGTGACCGCTTGGTGTTTGACAGTTTGATAACTAAAATTTTATTGTTCTCGTTCATTTTTGTATCTATAGTTTTTATTATCACTTACGTAATTAAATGTTGGTTAACCTATAATTGGCGCCTGTATAAGCATAATACTTATTGCTACTTTCATTATCACTTAATACTA